ATATATATACACGTATCCTCTGCGCTTCCTTTCATTGTAAAAGTACAATATACACCAAGCCTTCTGGCAGAGACTTGGGATTCTGAGTGATGTTGACCTAAACAATTAATAGCATCTTCCATCCAAGCACCACCCCTGAACCCCTGTTGTAGGGCACTTAATATAGAACATATATGATAGAAGCCGTACCATACGGTTGATAATATAAATCTGCATTACCCATAATAAGGAATATACCATAATTTCCATAGTTCAGGGTTCTTAAGGTAATGCAGGATTTACATATCATCAACAGTAAAAGCCTTATGATAAGAAGCGTTTGTCACTAGACCCCCCACTTTCAAGAAGCTCTGCCGTGGGGCCTCGAGGACATGGACGAGCTCTTCCCCGGAATGATTCTCCGATGCGCTAGTGTCGGTGGATGTCACGGCGCGAGCATTCCTGCATGTAAGCGGGAGGTGGGAACAGGCAATATGGATATATACCCGCTAGAGTTTTTTTGCAAGAATACTAGGACCCTATTCTATAACTACTACGGGTCCTATGTACTTCTTGATGCAAGAATACTAGAACGCTATTCTAACTACTACGGGTCCTATGTAATGTAAAGGTTGATGACTGAAGCAGCACATCCTGCAGCAATGGCGAGAGGCAATTTTGGGGCTCAGGCCCTTCAACCATCACGAGGTAGGCCTAGGGACAGTTTGTATGAGGGTTTGGGGTTTCGGGTTATGGCCGTCAGTGTTTCAACATTTTCGTAGGTGTTATTGGTGTGCTATCCTCGCACCACAGCATTCGAGCTTTTCCATGAGCTCGCAGACAATTTCAAAGCTACTGCGGTTCTAAGCTACAGAGCCTAGAGAACCACGCGCCGCACTCCTCGCAGTCTGAGTCTTAAACTTCCGAGCCTGGGTTTTAGGGTTTTAGGGTTGTAGGGTTTTTGGGGGGGTTCGAGTTTTAGGGCTTTAGGGTTTTAGGGGGTTTCGGGTTTTAGGGTGCTGGGAAGGAAGGTCTTGTATCCTTCCTTGGATTGAAGCCCAGGAACTACCTCTCTCAGTTCAACGCCTTCGCTCCGTCCCAGTTCCAGCACTCCGGCGAAGATAGTTCTTTTCACTCATGTGAGTATCCATGTTTAGGGGTTTAGGGGTTTAGGGTTTAGAGTTTAGTGTTACTGTTGTGATTGCAACTGCTTGGGGCTTAGGGTTACCCAGTAGAAGTTGCTGGTATGGGTCGTCGTGGTGCCGGATTAGCGTAGTTGCTGTCGTGGCGTTGCCGGTCGTGGCTATGGTAGTTGTGGCGACGCCGTTGGTAGTAGTAATATTGGTAGTGGTGCAGGTGGTGGTGGTGGCGGCCAACTGTGCCGATTACAGTTTCCCGAAGTAAAACCTCTGCGCCGCAGCAGGCCACAAGCATCACCACTAGCAAAACCGCCATCGCCATCGCCAGCGTGATCACGGTATCACCAGCGCTATCGCCGTCATCACCATCACAATCACCGCCACCGCCATCATCCTGATCACCATCACTGTGACCATCGATTACAGCCATGATGTACATGTCTATCCGCGTATCCTCCACCGGCAACCCGATCCTCATCGTCGTTGCTGTCGTGTTCATTTTCATCTTGTTAGTCATCGGTTTTCCCACGCTGCATGTCCATCTGTATTTGCAAAATTGCAATAGCTGAATCAGAGTCGTCGTCATGAATAGTCATGATCGTCATCATGATCATAGTCAAGATCATTTTCGTCATTGAGCTGGTCCTCTTACTGCTACGGCAACTGCTCTTGGTGCTGCTGCTGCTCCAGTGGCAATCCTGCTGCTCCTGCTGCTGCCATCTCCACCACTGCCGCTGCATTTACGGCTACCGCTCTGCTGCTAATGCTGCTGCCGCTGCCGCTGCCGCTGCTGCTGCTGCTGCTATTGCGACGGCTACTACTCCTACCGCCTACCGCTACTCCTTCTTGCGGCTGCTGCTGCCACTACCACCACCACAACAACTACCACTGCTGCTGCTGCTGCTACTACTACTACTACTACTGCTGCTACTACTACTACTACTACTACTCCTCTACTCTACTCTTACTTCTCTTGCTACTCCCGCCAGTCCTACTACTCCTACGACTCCTACAATCTCGCTGGAAACTCAGATTTTCTCTGCAACTTTCGTGCCCTGCAGGTTCTTCCAGAGCCCGCAGTACGGCTGGAAGTCGGTGGCTGCCTGGTACAAGCGGACGAACAGCCTCCCGACATCAGCTTTAGGATTCAGGGTTTCGGGTTTTCGACCCTTCCCGGCGCTCCGACGCCCGAATCTCCACCCGCCCCAGCTCAACACAAGCCTTGAGTCCCGGAAGCCCTAAGACCCCTCAAAGATCCCAAAATCACTCAATTTAGCAATGCTCCCAAAAAATATTGCAGGTTTTCGCCAAATCATCTTGACATTATGCCCTCCGGGTAGCTTTCGCGACGCAGCTTCGCTTGGGCTTCCCAGAGACTCCAATACCCATTAATTAAGGAATATACCTTAAATCATAATAGTAAGGCCCCTATAATTTAAGATATATTCCTTAATTAAGGGGTATTGGAGTCTCTGGCTTCGCCGACCTGAGGCGTGATCCCAGGCTGCGGCCAAGATCTCTTCGATCTCAGCTACGAGGATCCCGAGTTTAGTGGCTCCGCCCCCGAAATGGGTAGTTCTCTAAATTAGCGTCCCTTGTAAGATCCCCAATATAGTACGGCAAAAAGGGACCCTCAAAATATAGGAGCCTAGAGAACTAGCAGCAACATCATCCCCTTATAGCCCTTGCGCGGTATAGTAGTATAACATACCACGGAAGCCGATTCTAATCATTCCGAAGGGCCCATGAATTTCGAGCTCTCAGAGCTCTGCTGCGGATGAAGATCTGCATTGTATGAAACCAGTAGCATCGTCATCATCAGCATCATCGTCGTCATCGTCATCATCATAACCATTATTGTCATTACCATGACGCTCATTAATATCACTATCTATTTACCCTAAACCCTAAACCCTAAACCATTATGGTCATTACTATGACGCCCATGAATATTCATTATCTATTTCCCTGTGTATCATGCATGGCCTTGGGCCCGTCGGGCCTCGTTGTGTGGAAAGCTCCTAGTTGGAAAGCTCTGCAGCTGAGGGGCTTTTTGTACTTGCAAAAGGATCGTGAGACCGACGGTTGATGATAGAAATCCTTAGCATTTCCTGAGGGGTTTAGGGTTTAGGGATGATATAACTCCTTAGCATTACCTTCAGGGCCCTAAACTATGGGAATGATGGCATATTCCATATTATGGGTAATGCAGGATTTAGATCATCAGCCGTATGAAGTAATGTTATACATACAGTGATTAGGTTCTTTTTATCAGTTACACATATAGACACCCGGATACGGACCCTAGTGACAGCTCCATGCTCCTTTAAGTAACCAGCGCCCTTTGAAGGAAACGATTGAGGCATCGAGATGCAAGGAGGGTTCTCTAAATTAGGGTCCCTTTTTGGGTCCTCACTATAGTACTGCACCCGTATTCAAGAGGCACCCCCCAAAAGGGACCCCAATTTAGAGAACTACCCAGATAGACCAAAAACCAAAAAGACCCCAGACCCCGAGCCCCACCCAAAGCCCCAGAGGCCCCCAAAAGCACCCAAATTCCCCAAACAAAGCCCGAAACATCAGTTACACCTGAATAAAGCCGTCTGAAAAATCTAGGACTAGTACTATAGTCCCCAATAGAGCTATACTACAATGTACCCTAAAAAGGCCCCTGTCTTTACGAGAAACGGTGCCCAGCGTCTCGGAATTTTGAGGAGCAAACTCGCTGCATCCTCTCTCGCGTGGTTGACCGCCAGGCCAGGAATTGCTGAAATTTGTAGCGTTTAGGCTCAGGAAATTTCAGGTACTGCTACAAGTCTATAGGAGTATGTTGAAAAGGGTCTCTGCGGCACGTTTGCATTTTTTTTTAATAAGGGGAGGTTATATGACAGTCTTGAGGAGTTCAGGTTCAAGGTAACACCGTGAGGATTCTAGGGTATTAAGGCCCTACGGTTTAGGGTTTAGGGTTTTAGGGTTTAGGGTTTAGGGCATTAAAGCTGTTTGCTGTTGTTCTGCTGCTGCTGTCGCTGTCGCTCTTGCTGCTGCTGCTGCTGCTGCTGGTGTTGCTGCTGTTGCTATCGTTGGCATCCGGTCTTCTGGCAATGGCTTTATGGGTAGTTCTCTAAATAAGGGTCACTAGTTAGGGTCCTTTTTAAAACGGGTGCTGTACTATATTGGGGAACTAAACAGGGGACCCTAATTCACAGAACTACCCTTCTGGTGCTTCAGGGCCGCTTCTTGGGACTCTCCAGGGCTTTGTGGCGCTTAACCCTAAACCCTAAACCCTAGAACCCTAGAGCCCTAAACCCCAAACCCTAAACCCTAAACCCTAAGCTTTGGGACCCTCCAAAAGGAAGCTTTCGACATCGTGGGCTCTTGCCTCTCAGCGGCGCCCTCAACGAGCTGCTCGGCCGCAGCTGGGACACCCCGGCAGATGTCAGACAAAGCCAGCTGGGAAGTGGGTTCAGGGTTTCGGGTTTAGGGTTTAGGGTTTAGGGTCTGGGGTTTCGGGTTTAGGGTTTTCGGGGTGTTCGGTGTGTTTCGCTGGAAGGTTTGTTTAGGGTGGCTGCAGGGCTTGACGAAGAAGTTCAAGGTCCTATTTTCCCGTAGAGCTCTTTTCAGCCTTGGGTGTGTCGAAGTGTTTGTCACCGGGTTACGGGCCTTGCGATGCAGTCCCCAAGAAGGTCTTGCATGCACTTGCAAGGGACCCGGAACACTTGGGCAGTGCAGGAAAGGCCGTGGAGTGAGGACCAAGAGGCAAAGAGCTCTTGGAAGCAGCAAGCCTTGCCCCCGCATCCTTGCTTGGTGCATCTGGCTCGAGCATTTGGCCCGATCGCATCGCTCCGACCTTCCTCCAAGGACGGACCCAGCTCGTCCTAAGCCATGAAGCTCCTTGCCGACCAGGGTGCCGCCAGCTTCGACAAGGTCGCCGAGTGCTACAGTGGTCCAGAGCAGTGACTTGGGGAGAACGGTTCATGATAATTTTCCGCAAAGTTTTTCGTGATTAGTCGTAGCGATTTGGGGTACATGCTCAGCTTCTATGAAGAGTGAAGAGTATGAGCCTCAGGAGTGTTTGGGAGCTCGTCATGGGCAAGCAAATCGACATTGGTGGGGCTTCCTCCACCATGGAAGTTGCCGAGAAAGCCGGTGTCGGCCCGGGCATGAAGGGGGTGGACCTGAACTGCAACAACGGCGGCGGCATGCGCTGCCCTGGTTCGCCTCTGCGGCGTGGACCAGATGGTGGGCGTCGACCTGACGAAGTCCGTGGTGGAGACCGGCCGTGCCCGCACGAAAGAGGAAGGCCTCGACGGGAAGATCAGCTTCATCCACGCGAACTCCTTGGAGAACGGCCTTCCGGATGCCTCGGCGGACTTCGTCTGCAGCAAGGATGCTTGGTGCTACATGCCCAACAAGCAGCTCATCGTGGATCAGGCTGCGCACATCCTGAAGCCGGGAGGCAAGATCTTCTTCACCGATTGGATGGAGGGTGAGAGCCTCTCGGAGGAGGAGGCCTTAGCGCTTCTTAGGCCCTTAGGACCTTCCCGGCTCTTCCGACGGTGCAGGAGTACGCCGCGATGTTGGAGAAGGCCGGGTGCAGGGTGCAGGTTGCCCAGAATAGCGGCCGCTTCTCGCCAGCCATGGACTGCTACACTTACATGCTGAAGTACCAGGCCGTCTACGATGCCAAGAAGCTCTTGGGCTGGGACGAGAAGGCATACGAGAAGCTGATTTCGGACTTCGAGTTTATGGCGAAGTTGGCCAGGGAAGGTAAGATCATCCAGGGCATGTTCGTAGCAACCAAGAAGTGATCGGAAGAAGCCACACAGCAGTTTTGAACGGCTTGGGGGCTCAGAATTGGGACCGCCACGGACCCTCAGGAAGCCCCTCGTCCATTCTAAATGGGTGTTTCCGAAAATAAGAGACCCCAATATGGTATCCTGAATACTAGGATCCTTATTCTAAAGGACCCCCCCAAAATAAGGTACCCTAATGTTCGGAAACTCCCAAATGCCTTTTCAAGCGTCTTGAGACCGGGAGTGTTTCCACACAGCCTGTCTGTTCCGGGAACGGGGCGCTCGTTTCAATCTTAGCTTAGCCGGACACCTGGGAGGTTCAGGCAAGTCCACAAAAATCTGGCTTAATTAAGGCTTGAAGCCTCCAGATAGACTGGCAAAGGTCCCCCGGTGCCTATAGGGTTCCAGCATCTTGTGGGTCTAGTCCCTTTGCTCTTTATGGGGCGCAGGGTGCGTGGGCCGGGTGTGGGGCTGAAAGCTTCTGGAAATGGTGGCGTAAAGCACGATCCAGGCAAAAAGGGGCCGTCCAGCAGCGCCTGAGCCATACCCAGAGAATCCAACCTACCCCTGAATTAAGGAATATACCTTCAACCATAATCGTAAGGCCCCTATGATTTCAGATATATTCCTTAATTAAAGGGTATTGGGTTCTCTGGGTACGCATACCCCCAGCGCCTTCAAGAGCTTTCTCGAGCTCGCTTTGAGGTGGGACGGCTGCCCCCACCACGGTGCCCCCGACCGTGCGGCCCACGACCACGACGACGACCATGACCGTCTCGGCTGCAGCTGGGCTTGATTACTTGGAGTTCAGGGCATTGGGTACTTACTTTAGTTGGGGAAGAAGACCTAGAGAACCCAATACCCCTGAATTAAGGAATATACCTTAAATCATAATATTACGGCCCTTATTTTTTAGGGTATATTACTGGTATATTGGGTTCTCTGGGTACTTTAGTTGGGAAGAAGAACCCTTAGACTGTCGGAGTGATGAGAGTATCGTCCATCTTTTCGACACGCAAACTATGCTTGTGACGTGAGGCGTTTGGGGGCCTTCAGAAACAAATAGGAGAAAGTGGTAGGTATCCCATTATAAGAGCCACGAAGAATGAGGCACCCCTAATTAAAAAAAACCTGCTAAAGACTCGCCCTTCTAAAGCCCGCGTAACTAGTAAGGGAGCCCCCGGCAACAGGGAAGAAGACATTCCAAGAGAGCCCTACACTCTACCGTCACCCCTCGAAGCTGCAGTCTGCATCGCTAAAGAGAGACCCTAGAGTAGACACCATCTACGGTTGATGATAGAAATCCTGCATGACCCATAATAAGGAATATATACCCTAATTCCCATAGTTCAGGGGTTTAGGGTTTAGGGGTTTAGGGATTAGGGTTTGTAGGGTTTCTAGGGGTTTAGGGGTTTAGGGTTAGGGGTTACCCATAATAAGGACAATACCATAATTCCCATGGCTCAGGGTCCTTAAGGTAATGCAGGATTTATATCATCAACGGCAGTAGTACCATGGTACCTTTACTCTAGCTTCTTGCTGATGCGCGGTGATAGTCCCTAGAGAATTCTGCTGTATTCCTTTACGGCCCCTATCTTGCACTCTGGATCCCTGACGTCCCTACACTGCAACCCCTGTAGACCCCTTGCAGAAATCTATCTGAGAAAGCCAAACCCCGAAGCCCCTAAAACTCTAAAACCCTACGCCCTAAAC